AGTTGCCAATTATGGTGTAGAGGAGCTTTTGTCCGACAATGGCGGCGAATTTGACAACAACAAGGTACAAAATATTCTGACCCATAATGGTGTACGACAAAGGTTTATTATGCCGTACACACCACAACAAAATGGCTGTGCAGAGAGAGAAAACCGTACATTGGTGGAAGTCGCGAGAACTTTAATGCATGCTAGACAGGGGCTGTTCGACCAGAGTTTTTGGGCAGAGATGATCAACACGGCGACATATATCCTCAATCGAACGAGTCGATCAGGAGTTGAAGGAAAATCTCCTTACGAGGTATGGCACAAGAAAAAGCCCAACCTCAAGCATCTACGAGTGATAGGTAGCACTTGCTATGCTCATGTTCCAAAGAAAAATCGCAAGAAAATGGACCGAAAGGCTATCAAAGGTATCCTCATGGGTTACGAAAACGACGATGGTTATAGAATTTGGTCAACAGAACAGAAAAAACTAGTGAGATCAAGCGACGTGTTTTTTGATGAGTTCAAACCATTAGAAGCTCCAAAACCGGTAGAAAGATCTTCATCTCCACTACCTTCTGTTTTCGAGTATGTAAATACCAAGGAAAGAGAGAGAGAGCTAGAAGAACTGTCAAACAATGACGTTGAAGATCAGATAGAAGAAGATGTTGCTGAAGAAGACCAAATCGACCAAAACCTCGACGATGAAAATGGAATAGAAGAGAACTTAGACATGAGATATATTACAGATGAGCTAGAAAATGAGCATGGTATAGAAGAAGACCCAGAAGAACATATCGAAGTAAGAAGAACGCTGAGAGACAGATCACAGACAAGGAAGCCCCTACGTTTTGATGATTATGTTATGGCAGTTGCTGCAGAGATTACTGATCCTAAAGAACCTCTAAGCTATAAAGAAGCTATAACTTGCGATGAACGAGATCAATGGAAATTGGCCATGGAACGAGAGATACAGTCACTTCGTGAAAATTGTACTTGGGAAATGAAGACGTTACCTCCAGGAAAGAAGGCAATACCATGCAAGTGGGTGTATAAGATAAAGAAAAATCCAGATGGTTCCATTGACAAGTACAAAGCAAGATTGGTCATCAAAGGATATTCACAGCGCAAAGGTGAAGACTATGACCAAACTTATAGTCCAGTAGCCAAAGGAGGGACAATAAGATCATTGCTAAGTATAGCTGCCAGCAAAAATATGTCTCTCACCCAATTCGATGTGTGTACCGCGTTTCTCTATGGTAATCTGAGCGAAGAGGTCTACATGAAGCAACCGGAAGGGTATAACAATAAAAGCAAGGAAGTATGCAAACTTCAACGCAGTCTTTATGGACTTAAACAGGCACCAAGATGCTGGAACAAACGTTTCGGTGACTATATCGAAGGTCTTGGTTTCAAGAGGTCTGACGCCGACCCATGTTTGTTTGTGAAGAAAGAAGATGAAGACATGCTTATCCTTGCCTTGTATATAGATGACGGGCTACTAGCTTCAACCAAAGATAATTTGAAAGACGATTTTCTCAGAAGTTTACAAGAGGAGTTCAAGATCACCATCAAGGAAGTTTCCTATTTCCTAGGTCTAGAAATTGGAAGAAGAGAAGATGGAACAGTACATGTGAGTCAGTCTGCGTATGCAAGAAAAGTACTTGAACGTTTCAGCATGCAAGACTGTAAACCCGTATCAACTCCTGTGGTAAAAGAAAGTATTCAAGTAGGGAAGGAAAGTGGAGATGAATTGAACACCACTTTTCCATATAGAGAAGCAGTTGGAGCATTGATGTACTTGATGACAGGAACTAGACCAGACATAGCCTATGCAGTTAGTGTTGTCTCAAGTACATCAATGCTCCAACTGCTTCTCTATATGGAAAAGTGGTGTTCAATTCATCTCCACTTTTCCTAACTACTACTTCCAGCTTACTTTCACTCTTATCTGATAGAGCCTTTTCATAAGCGCACAACTGACTCGTCAGATTGTCTATGGTTCTGTCCTTGTTTGACATCAACATCCAACTAGACTTGAATGAAAAGTATTCAGCTGGTAGGGTCTCCAAAATTTTGCAAATAAGTAGGATTTCAGGTAGATCACACTTATTACAGTTGTTTCCAGTAGATATTTTATCTTTGGAGATCTCTTTTTGTAAATTGTTCCATAAATTCTTTAGTTTCGAAGTATGCGTTGCAATGTCATCATCTGCTTGTCTGACGTAACTGAAGAATTGCATGCACACATCATAAGTTTTGTCCTCGATGCTTCCATCATACAATCGATGCAGTTCTAACCAAACTTCTCTCGCAGTAGTGAATCGCATAACTTTTTCTAGAGTTTCTTGTGTCATATTCACAGTCATAATGAGTAGAACATTACTCTCAACTTGATTGAAGTCAGCCAAATCCTTGATATACTTGGATTTCTCTTCTGTTGTTACATTATCAGGAACAGGTGTTGGTTTCTGCAGTCCACCTTCTATCACCTCCAATCCATTTTTGATTCCTCTCAACAGAATGCAAAGCTTGTATTTCCAAGTAATCCAATTTGATTTTCCTTCCAGTAATCCTATCTGCACTTTACTTGCATCCATTTTTCTCTGGACTAAGATACGATCACCTTCTATAGGAAAAACTTGATCTCTAGCTTTAACAAAATTTCTGACTGGATATTTCCTAACTACTACTTCCAGACGTAGGACTTCAATTACTGTAGCGGGAACCACGCTCTGCTACCATGTTGAAGTATTATTCGTGGAAACTTGTAGTATTTTATTAAGGAAACGTTGACACTCTCGTGACAAATTATTTTTATTGACAATGACTAACTCATATAATGGACGATCTACAGTATGACCAAAATATAGAAATGTTCTGCTTTCAGCTTCAACAAATACTAGTCCAATATACGTATAGTGAGGACAAATCATATGATTTGAACCAAAATGTCACTGCGTTTAAATAATTTTTCCATCAGAGAGCCTAAAAAAAACTCCACTAGCTCGTCAGTGACAATTTGTATTGCAAAAGGTTTGGAGGAGAGAAATAAAGGTATACAGAGAACATATCAAATTGGTTTGTTGAAGCCACAAACATTTATGACTGATGTAACCAATGGTTTTTATAATGCATGGTGTGATGTAATTGGAACAGTACCCAATCATGTATTTTGTGCTTGTCATATTGACCGGGCGTAGCTAACTAATTTAAACAAAATTGATATAAAGAAAGGAAACATTGGAATTCTTCAAAAACCACTATAGATATATACGAATTTCAGAAATTTTCCCCAACTTTTTTAAATGAGTTGCTCAATGAGAAAGCAACTGTCAAATTTGGAGATTATTCCAAAAACAACTACTTAATCATATATGAAGAATGGGCATATTGTTACCGCAAAAACTTGGGGACCAATACGAATATGAGACTTAAGACTATGCATAGACCTATAACTATACAGTATTATTTTGTACCTGGATGCGAGAAAATGGAAATATTGGACAACGGACTATATGCCTGCTTGAACAAATTCATCAGAGATAATAAGATTGTGGATCGAATTATCAATGAACATGTGAAGAGTAAAAACACATATCATACTAAAGAGATCAATACACCACATAAAACTGCTTCATGGAGAACATTTCAGATGACAGGTTTGTGAAAAAAATATCTTCAAAGATTTTTCAACACATTGTTATGAAGATGAAAAATTTCTGAGTAATGCATGTTGCCAGTAATTTTGTCAAATGTGCAACATATTTTATTCATTCTTGATTTTTATATATCCATAGTACCATATATGTAAGCATATTCACTATGTTATTCTAAAAAGGGAAGAAAATTTGACTGAGACCTGATCAATCATTAAATTGTGATTCTATGGAGAATATCTAACCAGAATGTGATACCCATTTGAAATGCCTTCCCCAACGAAATAAAGGAAATAAAGAAGAGCTCATCGAGAATGTCCTATCTGAAACAAACAAGATACTACAAAACATCAGTAATATAAGTGACATCCAAACAATGACACATGTTGTGCATACCTTGCGGAAAGAAAATTGACTAATCAAGAATTCTCAGAGAACCATAGATCCATTTGTGGCAAATGAAAGCAGTGCTTGCAGAGAACCTTCTAACAAAAAAATTGTAGAGGATTGTACACTCAGAGAAATAGTCGGTATAATGATTACCAAACGTTTAGTAAAATAGGCGCCAGTCACTACATTCATCAAATGATACCACAACACAATTGTATCATACTATACTATAAGTATCATACTATTTTGTAGTGGTGATATTTGATAAAATAGTGCCTGGCGCATATTTTACTAAACGTTTGGTATTTTCTACCAACTGTTTTTTTCAGTGTGAAGAAGGGGAAACCTGCGAATAAACTTCTGAATAACCCAACTACAGCATAAGCTTCTGAAATTAGGAAAACATTGTCCATCAATCAGAAACTGTTCATTTCAGAAATAACAGAAAATGATCATGATTACTTTGAAGTTTGCTAGCTTTCTTTACTGATTACTTTACGCATTAAATTGGACAAACTAATATCAAAAAAATATAATGTTGATAGCAGTGTTATGAAAAGGTGATATGAATTATAAAGATTATTGAAGATTGTACTTGTTTTTAACGTGTTCTTATTTTTTGTCTCAGAATCACCCGAATGATCGCTCCTTGAAGTTTGGTCAGATACTTGAATAACACCCTATATTTACTCAATGATTAGGGCTATCAGGGGGCTATTATGCGTTTTTGAATACTAACATAACATAGGGGCCAATTAATCCAATTTGACCCTCTAAAAATTGTTTTCGTGTCGCCTTTGCTCTCAATAAAACATTGTTATTGTTCAATAATTCGAAATTTCCATGATGCTGAGTGCTTCTACATAACTTTCTTAATTGACAGAGTAAAATCAGATGAGAAAACAATCCAAAGTACATCAAAAGTACTCACAATACCATAGTATAGTATATAAGCAAAACATATAGTACGAGGTTTGATCCATTTTGGAATATTTATTGGAATGGACAGTTATACAATTTTTCAACCCAAAGTTACATAGGTATATAATTTCCTATCCATGTATTTAAAGAAAAAACTGTGTTATTTGAATTTAAAGCAAATATTTTTGACCCAAGATGGCCGCCACAATGATTCCTGCAAATGCAGTTAAGCTCAAGCTGATACTGTTGGCAGAATTACACAGGTCGGCTTTGCAGATCGGACATTTTACGTCTTTGGCTCCATCTATGACGGGGCAGGTGATTTCTGTGGATTTTTGGGGTGCCAAGGCACATTTCCTTGAAACTACTTTGTTTCCACCAGCATCTGAAATAAAATCAGCTCGTTAAAATCAATAGTAGGTAAAGATATTCTGATCGCATAAAACGATATTTTGCTTCAGATGCAATGTGATTATTACTGATAGTAATGAGAATAATAATAATATTTATAATCTAGTTTAGAAATCCATAATTTCTGTTTATTCAAGAGGAGAAGAAAAACAGAAATACATATTCTTATACAACAGTGATAATTATTTCTACTAGTATAAACACACAGCACACAGATACAGGGTGGTCCTTAAGTAGTAAATACATATAGTACATAGAAGTATGGCAGATTTTTGGCATCAGAATATTACGATTTTGGACATTTTTTGGTAAAATATTGCTAATAAGGGAGATTCAGGGTGTCGAATATGAAATTGTTTTTGGACATGAATAGGTACTTGATATAGTATCGAGACTTTTTTTATTATCTCTTGGGGCACAGGAAATGCAATTCCAATAATGTTCGATAATATGTTGGAAATACTTCCATTAGCAAAGAAATCAAGTTTGACGATGAAAGAATGTGCTGACTGAGCTTGTCGAGTTCTTCTGACTGGTATTGCTAGTGATGGAATGATAACAGACATTTCTGAGGTGCATTTTCCGTAGAAGTATCTACTATATAAAAAATGGAAGTTCGCCGACTTTTCTACGGTGTTCTAATGACGTCAGATGATTAGTGAGTGTGGCATCACCCACCAGGCGAATAGCTCTTCTCTGGTTAGGCTCTGAGAGCATCAGCGTATGTTTCGGTGCCGAGCCCCATCTGCGGGAACAGTATTCTTGAACTGGCCGTATCTATGCTTTGAAAATCATGAGAAGCTAAGGTGTGAAGTAGATTTTCGCATGGAATAAAAGGCCGAGTTTTTGTGAAGTAGCTTCCGCGATGGATCGGACATGATTTTGTCATGGGAAAGTAGCTGATGGAAATACCGAGCATAGATATAGTGGACTTGGTGGCAATGATGGTACTAGATATTAAACCGTAGAAACCATCCATATTTCTCAAAGTGGTCCAATAGATTTTTAGAAGAAAAAGCAATAAAAGTCACAAAGTCTGTCGAAAACGAAAATATTTTTCAATATGTAGTGTAACTAGTTTCGGCCACAGGTCATCATCAGACACAAAAATAATGTATTCGTTAGTACTTTTAAGATATTACTCCTCAACAATGCCCATAATTATGTTTTAGGTACTTCCGAATTTAATTGGAGAAAAAATACAGGGTGCTTCAAGTTCCGAATTCTGATCACCCTGTATCTGTTGCCGAGGTGCTAAAGTTCAACTTCAGCTCCTAGGAACTGAAATTCAACTTTAGCTCCTAGGAACTAAATATGTTGCCTAGCAACATACCTATTTTTGTGTCAGTAATAGAAACGTCAATTCAAGAGCTAATTTTGGTATTGAAATGGACGACTTATGTGCCGGTTGCAGAAAAATAGTATTTTTTTTGTTATATCGACAATTCGTGGGTTTTTTCAAGTTTCATAAAAGCAGGAATTCGGTATTTTTTATGGTAGGTGTTTTCCTGAAATAATATACGAGTGTATAGGAATACCTGAGAGAACTGTACGTATATTTGTAGATAACGTATCATGAAAATGCATATAGGTATAATATATTTTCGCAATAACTCATCATGACATCATCGCGGCACAACGTGGTACAACATTTTTGTATGGAGATAAGTACAAGCATACAGGTAAGTAGGTACCAATAGTTGTTTGTGAAAAAGGAATAATTACTCATGGAGAATTCGAGTTAACTTATGAATTTTAAACGACCGTCTCAAATCGTCTAATATATACACTCACCGGCAAAACAACTGTCATACATTGATCACCCTGTAACTTCTTCAATTCTTGTTCGATTCTGGTAAAATTTCGAATTATTCTTAGATTTGTAATTCGGAGTGTCATCCTAAAGGACCCCGCACGAAAACACGGTAAATTGGCTCTCGGTCGAATTGGCTGATATTTAACCGAGAATTTAACTATGTTATTATTGTGGGATGGCTCATTAGAAAAATATGTGAGTTTGAAAAGTTTTGTATGTTTAGTTTCCGAAGCCGAGGTGCTAAAGTTCAACTTCAGCTCCTAGGAACTGAAATTCAACTTTAGCTCCTAGGAACTAAATATGTTGCCTAGCAACATACCTATTTTTGTGTCAGTAATAGAAACGTCAATTCAAGAGCTAATTTTGGTATTGAAATGGACGACTTATGTGCCGGTTGCAGAAAAATAGTATTTTTTTTGTTATATCGACAATTCGTGGGTTTTTTCAAGTTTCATAAAAGCAGGAATTCGGTATTTTTTATGGTAGGTGTTTTCCTGAAATAATATACGAGTGTATAGGAATACCTGAGAGAACTGTACGTATATTTGTAGATAACGTATCATGAAAATGCATATAGGTATAATATATTTTCGCAATAACTCATCATGACATCATCGCGGCACAACGTGGTACAACATTTTTGTATGGAGATAAGTACAAGCATACAGGTAAGTAGGTACCAATAGTTGTTTGTGAAAAAGGAATAATTACTCATGGAGAATTCGAGTTAACTTATGAATTTTAAACGACCGTCTCAAATCGTCTAATATATACACTCACCGGCAAAACAACTGTCATACATTGATCACCCTGTAACTTCTTCAATTCTTGTTCGATTCTGGTAAAATTTCGAATTATTCTTAGATTTGTAATTCGGAGTGTCATCCTAAAGGACCCCGCACGAAAACACGGTAAATTGGCTCTCGGTCGAATTGGCTGATATTTAACCGAGAATTTAACTATGTTATTATTGTGGGATGGCTCATTAGAAAAATATGTGAGTTTGAAAAGTTTTGTATGTTTAGTTTCTGAGATATAAGCCGACAAAGTTCGTAAAAACGTCGTATCGGGGTAGGATTGACAAAGAAAAAAAACTGTTTTTTTAGTATAAATGAAACAAAATAGGCTAAAAAATGTATTGATCGGAACTCAAATACATGTCTAGTTATGATCACATAATTTATAGTAAATCAGGGTGTATACGAGGCACGGTCAAAAAATTCATTTTTCGGAAAAAAAATTCGAGCACTATTCCAAAACCAACAAGTTATATTTTGGTGAGACATTATAGTTTTAGTCTATTGTATAGGCTTCGGAAACGTATTTTGATTCTTGATAACTATATCTGTTCGAAATATGAATTCTTTGAATTTTGTGTTATACCCCTTTTGAAAACAATCGAAAGCTTGTTTTTGATCACAAAGAAAGGAATTGATTGATACTGTTGATTGAATGAAAGCTGAGGAAACTTACTAGCGAATTCAGTTGTTCAACATTGCCTTTCATTTAGATTCAGGGTGTGTTAGATCTCGAAAACAGTTCCGTCAATTTGGATCTCATTTAACACACACTGTTTTGAATTTGTTGACTATCATATGCAAAAAGTTTTTCAATTTTTATTGTTTCGTTTCTGAGATATTCATTTTTGAGTTTACAGTATTACAAGTATTATAGGGTTATTACCTCGGATATTACTCAAAAATTGATTGTTGGGGAACATTTCTACTGGATGTCGAAATTCATATAGGTACAAGGAACCATAGATTAAAATTGTCTTTTTAATCTATGAAGGAACAAAACATATTGAGAATCTCGCTACGAATGCTATAATGGGATATATTCACCTTTCCTCCACAGAGGGTTTCCAGAGATATTGTGAACAGACTCATAGGAGAGTTTGAAGCTTCAAAATATTATTTGAATAAAGATACAAATTTCATATACTATTGTTTTTTTCGCAAATTCTGAATGAATGAAGGTTATGTTCTCAGAGGTTCTCGTCTGTCGCGTTCGGGTTTTCATAATTTGTGAACCGTCCTGAAACAGTTCTAGGATTCGAAACGACTGCGCACTAGTTCTATACGCAGTTCGAGAACGATTCTTGAACAGTTCTGAAATCAGAACCCGAATGAACCTAATAACCACAAAATTCTCTTACCTTTGTAGGACGTCTTCAGGCATACAGCTTCTTGGGTGGGGTCGGCACTCTTACCACACTCTACAGTGGTCCACGTCTTCATATCCTCCTTGCATTGGTCTTTGTCGCAGTTATAACACTTCAGTGCAGTTGCTGTAAAAAAATTTGTATTTAATTGCACTATCCTCTTTGCGTGGTGTCAGTTTTATAAGGTGTCCCACAAAAAATAATGAAATCTTCTGAATGATACAGGGCGTTTCAGAGAAACAAGTTGTTCGTTTGCGATCTTTGGTGCATGGCGCATGGCAGGAAATGGATCCAAACTACTCCAAACCATGTCCGAACCTATTTTTATTGCGGCAATTTGTATTTCTGGTGCAATTCTACTGAGGGAATGGTGGATTTTCGGTATTTCATTCATCATTAGACTAGGTTTCTAGGCTTATTCATAGATAATGAGTTGCTGTTCACTGAACATAAGACAGGTATGTGTAAAAAACTGGCTTCTGATTTCTATGCTGTAAAAGAAACATTGCCACTGAATTTGGATTATCATCTGCTAGAACAGCATGCAATTCTTTGCATTGATCTTTTTCGCAGTTATACTTTAGTGCAGTTGCTGTAAAAAAATATTCGTATTTCATTGCACTATCCTCTTTGCGTTGTGTCAGTTTTACAAGGTGTCCCGCGAGCAATAATAAAATTTTCTGGATGGGGCGTTTCGCGTTTCAGAGAAACAAGTTGTTCTTTTGCAATCTTTGTTGCATGGCAGGAAATGGGTTCGAACCATGTCCGAACCTATTTTTATTGCGGCAATGCGTATTTCTGGTGCAATTCTAGTGATGAAATGGTGGATTTTTGGTATTTCATTCATTATTTATGCATCATCAGACAAGGTTTCAAGGTTTATTTTCTGAGATAGGACAAAAAGTGTGGAACAAAAAAAAACTAGGAATTTATCAAGGATCAAAGTGCATATATTTTCAGTACACCTTCTTACTACTGAATACGGAGAAAATTTCAATTTTCTCTTCACTCATAATAGCCGTTGAAAATATTTTCCAGAAATTTTATAGGGTCATTTTTCTTGAGATAGTATATTTTTTTCAAAATTGTATCATTATTTGTTGCTGAGATATGGCCGACAGCCGTTCTTAGTTGTTCACCAGGTACGGATGTGGACCTTTTCATTACATTTTTTCACACTTTTGGACATCCCAAAAGCAATGAGCTACCACAAATTCCCATTTTGGATTGTATCATTCACAAAAATTAACAGTTTTTGTAAACGAAAAGTTCGAAAACGAAAATTGGTGATAGCTCATAATTTTCGAGATATTCAGAGGTGTGAAGAAATTGAATAAAAAACCCTAGTCCGCATTTGAAAAAGATGAGCTGGCAGACGAAACGTCGGATTTCAAATTTCAAAACGCCAGCTTGTAAAGTGGACATGATTAAGTTTCATATATTTCGATTGATTTCCTCAAGAACCTGAAGAGAAAAAAATGGTTTCAGAAAATGCCAGTGTTTTTTTTGTTTCTTTACCTCCCTAAGTATTTATTATTTTCCGAGTTGCGAAAGAGCATTTTGTTATGCATGAAATTGCTCAACTTTGCAATAAATAAAGCGACCCTGTATCTTTCACGGTTCACGAGATTCTAATGATGACGAGCCACCATGTACATAGAATGAAATGTCTTTTGAACTTTCTTGGCTTGGCAGTGGACGTGTTCAAGTTTTTTTTTATGTTCGGGTTCCTACGAAAAGGGATATCCTGGAATGTTCAGAGAACATCGTGAGAACCAAGGGAAATAAGGTAGGAATTGGTGTTCTTCTTGAATTTCTGGAGGTTATATTCCTCGGGAAACACCTCCCTTGGTGATTTGTTCCAGAGCCTCGCTGTCTTTGGAAAGAGATGTTCTGTAGGTCTCCAAAGTGACCAAGAAGGGGTGCGAAGCCTCAACTTGATCTCGCGGGGACTGCCATCAAGGAAGGAACAATTGTTGATATTTCAGAAGAGCATCGTCCATGAAAAGATCGCCAACTTTTCTACGGTGTTAGAAAAGTGAGTGAGTTTGTGATGCCTCACCCACGAGACGAATTGTACTTTTTTGGACAGAATCCAACAGTTTCAGGGTATGTTTGGGTGCTGCCCTCCAAATATGAGAGCAGTATTCCAGGACAGGTCGGATCTGTGCATAGTGAATGTCATCAGGAACCGAAAGACTAATTATTATTAGAATTCTGAAAGCTTGAGAGAAAAGCCATCAGATAAGGTCAGTGAGTGGCCTGAAATATCAATATTGAAATCATTTTGCATTATCTCCTCACAAGTCACTGGTAGGTATATTACATATAAATAGCAATATGGGGAAGAAGAAGAAAAAAATAACCTTCATTGCACCAATCATATACACAATATATGAAATACTTCACGAATTCTTCCCGCAAATAGATTCAGTAACCCTAATGTTTCTGATTGTTGTATTATGTGGAAATGTTACAAGATTTATAAAATTACTTCGAAACAATTGGTAGTGTTTGTTCCGTTTTTTCATTTATTCAGATTGATTATATTCATCACATTATCAGCATTTTTTCTCTTTCAGTTATGGGGGAAATTATTAAATTTTATATGAACTTAATTCGGAAAATATACAAGGTGTTCTCGAGATAGGTGCACATATTCAGCACATTAATATGATACAGTCTAAGGAATCATGATATCAGATTTTTTTTTAATTCTTTCAATTAACAAGAAATTTCATCCCAAAAATTGAACAAAATACGAGAAAAAAATCAAGTACGCCAATTTACAACAATTTAAATGATTTGACTCCGCGTGATTGTAATTACCGCATGGAAATTTGAACAGAGGTGACGTCAAATTTGCTATACTGTAGAACTTTGAATGGAAAAAGGGGTCTGACCCCGAATTTTATTTCGATCCCTATTTTTTTTTATTAGTGCCATTCGATAGTACACGTCGAGCTTTCTCAGTGTTTGAAATATTTGCACTTATTTCAATGCCACCCTGTATAATAATTTTCTGAATCGGAGCAATGAGAAGAATATCTGGATGAAATGTTCAATCCATCCCATAGAATGGATAATTTTGTAGATTTCATTATAACGAATCTCAAGAAGTGAAAAATACCACGCTCGTTGAATCCAGGAAGGTATATATAGGAATCTATGATAACTCCCGTCTACCTATACAGGGCGTACTTATCTAAATAACACGAAAAAAATTCAAGGGGTGATTCCTTGTGATATTTTAGTAAATAAAGTTTGTGATATTTTAGGAAATAAAGTTAATATAAACATGTGGGTATTAATATTTCCATGAAAATTCTTTTTTTTTCTCAAATGTCTTTCCCTCAATTTCAATAAAACGTTGTGGTTTTGTTAATAGTATATATAATATGGAGCTTCTTCTAGTGCAATAAAATTCGAAATAATATTTCCAGTGGCGTCACAGAGGGTAAATTCATCGATATTCATGGTGAATGCCATTGTACACCACCGGTTTGTCTGAGTTTCATATTTTTATTGGATTGAACTATTGAAATAACAACTTTTTAATTTTTTGCGTGATTTTTGTATCTATCTTAGTTTTTGAGGAAACAATAAAAATTCGATTTGACTCCAAATTTTGATGTAGGTGCGTTTTCAAGACTTCTATTGAGATTACTCAATAACCCCAATTAGAATCATTCTGAAATTTTGGGGCTTCCTTAGTCTCCATCTATACTAAATTTTGGCACCATGCAAGCTTATACAGGGGGGGTTATGAATAAAAGAAAATAATACTCCCAACTTCAACATCCTGTATTCCAAAAACGGAGCAAGTTAGGACACATCATGTTTTTATGAACTTTATTTGCTAGAATATCACAAGGAAACACCCCTTGAAGTTTTTCGGTGTTATTTAGCACCCTGCATATCAAATTCATGCTCCAACTATCGCGTAGAATAAACCAGCCCCCTATAACCGGGAACAACGGAATTACTAGGAGGAACTCGGACTCCATGGCGCCAGGAGAATTTTCTCGGTGTTATTTAGATACACCATGTATATCAAATTCATACTCCAACTAGCGAGTACAATAAACCAGCCCCCTATAACCGGGAACAACGGAATTACTAGGAGAAACTCGGACTCCATGGCGCCAGGATGTCCCCATTATAAAGGAAAAACTATTGATTATCTACGAGGGACAGCGCTCTTGGAGTAAATATATAGGTACAGATTTTGTTTGCCTAGGATGCGTCTGCTTGGTGCTCATAATAATTGATTCGATTCCTTTCTACAGTGATTTTTATAGAGGAAGTATCAAGGTAATGAGCAGCGTTGCCGTTATCAGATTGTTCAAATACTCCTGAAATGAACCGAAAACGCTCACACTTTGCTCACACCACAGAAATCATTCTATTCATTTTCTGGTAGAAGTCCATGTCTGCTCAAAGTGTAGTGGACTTTTTCAAAAGGAAGAAGGAAAGCTCAAAGTCATCATGTTTGTTGATGTTCGAAAATATAAGTAAGAGCGAGTAAGATGTATGACAGGTCTTAAATGCGCATGATTCATGTTTTCCAGTTTGATCTCGTGAGACACTTTCGGCTTCTTTTTTATGACATTAGCGGTTCAGATAGTAGTTTATGTCTGTATGGGTGCATGCCACAAACAACACGACTTGTGATTTATGTCAATGTCATATGTCACAGGTCACACGGTCACTCTAGGTCACCACAGAACAAGTCTACAGAATCGTGGTTCTGAGATTTCATCAAGTTCACAGAAAATTTGAGTAAGAAATATATCCCCTTAATTACAAGCAACTTCCAAATTATTGAGCATCAGTAATTATTTTCTTAAATTTTCTATACTTGGAGTGAGTGATTGAAATGCTCACAAAATGCTCCATATTACTATCAACAAAACCACAACGTTTTATTGGAATTGATGAAAAAACAATTGGAAAAAGAATAGAAAAAAGATTTTCCATGGAAATATTAATACCATGTATCTCGAAAACGAAGCAAGTTATATAGGACACATGTTTATGTGAACTTGATTTCCCAAAATATCACAAGGAATCAACTCTTGATTTTTATCGGTGTTATTTAGATACATCAATATATCAGATTCAAA